GAACTACCTATAGTCACTATAGTCTCCGTTGTAGCACTAGCACCATCAACCTTCGGTAAGTGGTACAGCAGCAAGAATGGATAAATAGCTAGATAGACAGATAGATAGATAGGTAGATAGGTGGATAGGTGGATAGGTGGATAGGTGGATATATATAGATATAGATATAGATATAGATGTAGATATAGATGTAGATATAGATATAGATGTAGATATAGATGTAGATACAGATATAGTTATAGATATAGATAGATAGGTAGGGAGAGATATGTACGTGTATATATATATATATATATTTCTGAACACTGGGGACGAAGATAGTCTTCAGGAATACGTTGATTGGGGTGGGGGTGATGTTCACGGTCATGTTTATAGCAAAACGCAGCCTACTAAGGTGGACGATTACGAGTGGACCGGAGCCTACTTGCATGAAGCCCAATCCTCGAGCTGACAGTTGGGTACCTTCCGATAAGGATGCACGAGAAGTGGCACGAAGCGGTCGACAGCGCCTTGGCGACGTGTTAGCCTGTCAGCGTACTATTCGGATAGGATACTCTAGGGTTGCTCTTGCTATCCTGCCTGTGGTGCAGAGCCTGTCTTGGAGGTTTGGCAGAGATTGTCAGATCAGACAGCTTCCTGTCCAACATGCACGTGGTTGTCTGCGGCGGGCCTGCGTGGCCACTTTGTGAAGATCAATGTAGGGGCCTAAATAATTACCAACACTATTTTGGGGGTTCCTTGTTATAGTTATAGTATACTGGGCCCCAAAACCCTATTCCAATTATTAAGACCCCTACATGAGCCACGTCAGCTTGCAAGGTTTTGCTCTATGCTGCGGGCTGTGAAGGCCAGCGACTCAGATTCCAGAAACCAAAAGCCGCTTTTGCTGGGCGTGTCGCGCAGGCAATCCCGATGCTCCTGTATTTCGCCTGGCCCCTGGTGCCGTACATCCCCGCGAGCTTGAGGCCATGGACGCACTTGATACGATAGGAATGCGCGTATGGGTCGGTTCGCATGTCCGGAAACGCCTGGGGTGCAATTTCGCAGCAGCCTGCCACATTCTGTCTGGATGCCACGGCGCGCCCGGACACTCATCGGATGGCATTCCCCCCTTCGTTTGCCATACTCCAGCACGCCCGACACACAAAGGTGCGGAAGTTCCCCTAAACCCTAAACCCTAAACCGCCGGTTAGCTTCCCACATTTCAGGACCTGCCCGACTCTCGCGAACGTTTGCGGGGCGCTTGATTTCCTGTCCCCATACCCTGACCTCCCAGGTACCTACTATAGAGGGCCCTAGGGGCTCTAGTACCCTAAATAGTAGGTACCCGGGGGGTTAGGGATACCTTCGAACGAGGGCCCTTGTGCTGCGCGTCTGTGAAACACAACGGTTTTGCCACACTCGAAGGTTCATGGCTAGTTGTAAGATCAAGAGAAGTTGTTCTATGTCGTGCGAAGACCCCAACAATAATGCCCGAAACCCTAAACCCTGAACCAAGCGAAACAACTATGATGACCGGTGAAGGAGTCGTTTACCCGACAGGTCCCAGTTTCTCCTGCAAATCCAGACGCTGGGCCAAGCCACCTCCCCGCCGGCGATCTTGGCCTCTTGCTTGCAGGATCGGCGGACCTAGTAAGTAGGGTTAGAGTTAGCCCTAGCCCTCGGGCCTTAGGAGCTCTAGTACCCTATATAGTAGGTACCTGGGGGGTTAGGGTAGGGTAGCTACACTTAGGAAGGGGGTCGCGGGCTTCTGGGGCTTCTAGGATCCGATGAGACGAGGTCGCTGCGAATTGGGTCCTGGCCGTGCAGTTTGCTCTGCAGGCAGTGAGGGGCCGTTCAGACATGCCGTGGTTTAGGGTTTCAGGTTTAATTAGGGTTTAGGGTTTAGGGTTTACATGAACCATGAAGCGCTCAAGATCTTCTTGGGATCAGCAGCTCAGAGTAAAACCAACACTGCAGGCACCTATCAACAGGTGTGTGCCCCTTGAATTGCCGATGGGAGCGGAGAGGTAAACCGGATAGCGAAACGCAGACTCCTATACTAAACACACCGGCACACTGCAGCCTCCATGGCAGCCTGCGGCGAGCAGCCGGAGGAGCAAGAGGAGCCGGAGGAGGAGGAGGATGAAGCAGAGGAGGATGCGCAGAGTGACTTGGAGTCTAGAATTGGCGATGATGACCGCGACTTCGACGATGGAGACGACACTGCTCAGAAATCTCTCTCAGGCTTGATGGTGGCATCCGGAACGAAGTTGCGGTGCAACTGGGTTGACCCATCGAAAGAGGAACAGTTGTTACACTCTTGGAAGAGGGTCAAAATCGATCCAGTCGAATCGGAGGACAGCGAGAAGGCCGCTTTGGCTCAGTTGCTTCTTGCTTCAAAAGCCTGCGAGCGATTGCAGCTCAGAGGCGCCCAACATCCCCACCAGGCCGTTAGAGAGAGGCCCGAAGTTCCTCAGCCTCAGCGTCAGGTCGGAATCTTAAGGGCAGTCTCGGAATCTCTGATGAACCGATTAGTAGTGCTGCGTGTCGATAACTTCCCCGGCTCCGGGGATCCAGTCTTCGGCACCAAGCACGAGCTTCGTCGGAGCTTCCGGGCTCCGGACCTCTTCGGAAAGCTGGCGGAGGCTTTCCAGGCCGCCACGGGCACCATAGGCACCCGGACCCCAAGCCTCAAGAAGGTGACGCTACAAGGTGGCTTTCATTCAGCCTCATCACTTTGCCGCTTCTTGCAGGTGGTGAGGCCAGAGCTCGAATCCTTCCGCTGCCGGGAATGCCTCTTTCACGGCCGCAACTTCGAGACGCTGGTGAGGGCCTTGAGCGGCAGCAGCCAGAAAACCCTCGTAGAGTTTGAGACGGACGCAGCCATCGGCGGTCAGGATCCCTTCGGACTTCTGGCCGACTCTTTCCCACACCTCAAGATGCTGCGAGTCAAGTACATGTTCGGGAAGACCGGGCCCCTGGAAGCCTTGAAGCGTCTGACGCAGCTTCGCAAGAAGCAGTGTGTTCTGCCAAGGGAGAGCCACCGACTTAATGGGCGTCCGGCGGTGGATGAAGAGACAGGCATCGTCTACTGGTGCATCACTTCCGAGCACCATGACGACGGCTACCGGGGACAGGGCCTTTGCTGGGACCAGCTTGAGAACACGATGGAGTGCATGGAGGAGTGGGCCGTCGGCAAGGGAGTAACCAAGGAGCAGTGCCTCGCGTTCATGGAAGACTGTGGCATCGGGCTGAACGACGAACTCGACGACGAGGAATGTGGCTTTGATGTCGGGGGTTGTGCCGTCGACTCAGAGACTGATGAGGACACCATCGTTGTGCAGTTGGAAATTGTGGACTCTCTGGGTTCCGAGGCTTTGGCGATCAAGGCGCGAACGATGGATGGTCGTGAGTTTGCACAAATGACGTTGGATGCAAAGAAGACATCGGTGCGTACACTCATCGATGACTTGGCCTCAAAGTATCCCTGCTCACCTCTCTCCCTGCGCCTGGTGCTGCCTGGTGGTGGCTGCATCGATGTTCTCGAAACAGCCAACCAAGTCCTGGCGGCGGTCTTGGTATGAAGGCGAGGAGTGCAATTTTGTCTTGCCGGTCAAGCAGCACTCGCTCTTCCGTTGTCAGTACTTGGCTGAGCAACGCTTAGAAGGCGAAAACTGCAGCATCTTATACCAGACGTAAGATGGCGTCTGGTGGGTTGTGATGTTGACTTAAGACTTCCTGTTCCAGAAAAGCGAAGACGGCCAAGAGCTTGTGTTGGTCACTGTCCGCTTGATTTTTGAGGGTCCTGCCGAGCTTTTGGGGCTGTGCACATGCTTGATATTTTTTTTGCATGCAGTTCCATCCTGTACTCTAGTCCCAAACCTCGGAGAGGCGTAAGCCACAAATCCGAAATAGAAGCAGCCAGCCGCTAGCACCGAACATAACCTGGCTGGGTTCTGGTTAAGAAGTTCCATTTACCATTATACGGATCTACACCCTAAGCCCGAAACCCTCCTCCTTTAGGGAGTTCTAGATGCAGACAATGCAGAAGGAAAAGAGGCCCCCCCCCACTCCAAAAACAAGCCCGAAACCCTAAACCCTAAACCCTAAACCCAACCCTAAACCCTAAACCCTAAACCCTAAACCCTAAACCCTAAACTCTAAACCCTCCCAGCTGGGTTTCCAGAGCCAGGTTCGCCTCGCCGTGCCCGTGCAGCGCGTGCATGGCCTCTACACGAACCAGACCCACTCCCCTGATCTTTGGCTTGTTTTGGTTGGGTGTAGGGTTGTGGGTTTAGAGTTTAGGGTTTAGGGTTGCACTCCCCTGATCTTTGGCTTGTTTTGGGTGGTTGGGTTTTGGGTTTAGGGTTTAGGTTTAGGGTTTCACTCCCCTGATCTTTGGCTTGTTTTGGTTGGGTGGTTGGGTTTTGGGTTTAGGGTTCAGGGTTTAGGGTTTCACTCCCCTGAT